CCCCCCCCCCCCCCCGGGCCCCCCCCCCCCCCCCCGCGCCCCCTCGCGCCCCCCCGCCGACCCCGACATCACAACCGACTGCAATGATCGCTTCGCAGCTGCACGTACGCCCTCCTCCAGCACAACAAGCCGTGCCCCTTTTGCGCCGTCGAGATTGCGTCCACGGACATGAATCGTACGCCTTGGAGTCACGTCGGCTGAGCGCACTGTCCACCCCGAAGTGCGCGGGGGGCATGTCACATGCCGCCGGACCGCCGGGACGTCCGTGTGCGATACGGCTCTAGGTGCGACACTGGTCCCACGGCACGTGTGAGAAAGAGCCCCTCCGACCTCCGTGGACCGTGCGCGGTCGGTGTCGCCGCGGTGTCGCGCGCGTGCGCGTGGCCGTGGCCGCGCGCACAAAGAGAGCGCCCGCCTCGATAGCGTTCGGTGGCTAGCGGCCCTTGCCTTCGGCGCTTCGCGCTCGTCTCGCGGGCTGCGCCGCCGCGTCTCGCTAGTTTTTTCCCACACATGTCCTAGTTTTCCTCGCCATAAAATACGAGTGGGCATTGCAGCACGAGCCACGACCGTCCCGAGCGCCCTCTCTAGCTGCATATTTGGGGCGCGCGAAAGGCGCGCCTCTATCTCGTCGGGGCTACGCACGCAGCTCGGCGCGCCTGGCCGTGAACAGGTGGCGACGGCTCTTCGCGGGGGGGTCGGCGCCGCCCCGCCGGGGGGGGGGGGGGGGGTTCTGCGGGGCGCGGCGCGCCTCACGGGTTTGATGGCCGCCGATCCTCCGAGCTCCCACTTTCGGACCGCGAAGGCTCGTGCTTCTTGGACCGCTTGCTCTTCTTGCTCTTCTTGCTCCCCTTCCCGCGCTTCTCCCGCCGCCGCCGCCCCTCATCCGACCTACGGAACGTGGCGCGCGAGCCGTGAACGTGGCCTCCGCCAGGAGACCAAGGGGCCGCGAGGGAAGAGACGTACTCGTCGCTGCTGCGCGACTCCGACTCGTCCCTCTTCTTCTTCCGGTCCTTGCGCCGGTCCGCGCCTGAGTCCGAGTCCGCTGAAGCGTCCCTTCGCTTGCCCCCTCGCCGGTCCTTGTCCTCCGAGCTCTCGTCCGAGTAGTAGGAGGAGCTGTAATCGCGGCGGCGGTCGCGGTCGCGCCCGCGCCGATCGCGGCTCCGCCGGTCGCGGCTCCGCCGGTCGCGGTCACGGTCGCGGTCGCCGCGGTCGCGGTCCCGGCGGTCGCGATCGCGGTCGCGGTCCCGGCGGTCGCGGTCGCGGTCGCGGTCACGGTCGCGGTCGCGGTCGCGGTCGCGGCGGGACAGGGGGCTATTGTCGCGGGAGCGCGAGCGCGAGTTCGAGCGAATCGCGCGCTTCTCCCGCTCGAGCTTGAAGCCGTGCTTCTCCTCCCAGGCCTGCCGCTTCTTCATCTCCCTGAATGCGTTGTTCGTGTCCTCGTCGTCGCTCATGTCGTTGTTTGGTGAGCAACAGCAGCGCGGCTCGAAAAGAATTTTACTACGCGCACTCGAAAAGAATACTGTTCATAGCTAGCGACGGCCTCTGCGGCAAAGTCAAACCACCCCACCACCTACCTACCACCTACCTACCACCTACCACCACCGCAGCAAACATTGCTCCTCAGTTCGGGCCCGCTCAGAGGCTCGCCGCGCCCGTGCGGCGCGCCGAGGCGGCGCGCTGGCTGCGCGCCCCCGCCCCCGCCCACGCCCACGCCCCCGCCCCCGCCCCCAAGCGCCCCTTCCCCGGTGGGTGTGCGTAGAAAGTGAAACCGATCGAGAGGTGGCAGAAGCTGCCGTGGTGTGACACATATTGCGGCACGTGTGACGTGAGTGTGTGAGAGACATAACACATATTGGGGTTTGCGGGCCCCGGGGCGTTTTTTCAAACATGCAAACGGGACGGCCTGCGCAGCCTCTAACTGTTTGTTTACAAGCTTTCTTTCTTTTTGCGGCAGGGGAGGAGAATGACGAGAGTGGGAAGACCGCGTCCGCGAGGTGGCATGAATGTCGCTGGACGCTGCGAGAATTGGCGAGAGACTACAAAGCTCCCCTCCTCTCCCCTTGAAATCCCTGTGTGTGGTGGCAGCGTCGGCCGTCCCCCCCTCCCCGCGCCCGCCCCCATCCCTCTCAGCTCTTTTCCCGCTCTCTTTTTTGGCTTGCGTGTTTTCTTTCTTTCTTTCAAGGCGACGGCGCGGCCCCGAATCGGCCAGGACACGACACGTCGAGTCTAACTAATTATCAGCTGCTCGCGGACTAGTGCCACGCGCTAGGCAGAGCACAATCGGCGCGTGGTCCGAGCCCATAAAGCCCGCGCCTGCGCAGCTCTCCCCGGCGCCAAGGATATTGCACGCCACGACGCGCGGAAGCAGCGCCGCGCTCACGAGCGCGTGGTCGATGCGCATGCCTCGTCGGTAATACTTGGCAAAGGCCGGGTCCCTCTCGTCATTGCCCGGCCAGCCGCGGTACGAGAAGGTGTCGTCTGCGAACGGGTCAGGCGGCGGGCAGCCGGCCGGCGCGGGGTGGTGGTGGCGAAAGGCGTCGACCAAGCCGCCGCGCCGCAGCAGCTCGGCAAATCCGCGCCGCTCGTTGGGCGAGACGCCGTTCTGACCGGTGAAGCCGCCGTCGTCTGTGGCAGAGGGGTGCTGCGCAAGCATCCAGCCGGCCGTCGCGCCGCTGCCTTGTGCGCACGCGTCGAGCGGGCAAGCGCAGCCGCGCCGGTTCTTCGGGTTGCAGCGGCACCACGTCACGTCCTCGTGCTGCGGCGCGCAGTTCAGGTCGCCCATGTAGACCACGGCAAGGCCGCGCGCCGACGCCCACGAAGCGGCGTGCTCCGCCCACTCTGCGACGCGTGCGTCCCAATTCGTGCGGCGGCGGTACGACTCGGGGGTCTGGCCCACGTTTGGGCTGTACGTGTGCAGCAGCAGCAGCGACGGCCACTCTGTGAGCAGCACGCGGCCGTCCTCGTCGCACGCGTCGCTTGGCGGCGCATCGAGGTCGTCCGGCAAGTAGCGCCAGAGCCGGCGGGGCGCGGACCCGTCTCGCCACAGCACCGCCGATCCGGCCGCCCTCTTGAGGCCCAGGGCGAAGGTGCACTCGTAGCCGGCGAGGCAAGTCGATTCCGCTCTGAGGATGCGCCGCCGGTCCCCCTCCTCCTTTGGGCAGTGCGAGACGTCGCCGCGCTCGCGCGCCATCTTGACCTCGGAGAGGAAGAGAAGGTCGGGCCGCCTGCGGGGAGGCTCCGAGGAGGATGCGAGGCGAGGTCGCGAGGGGGGAGGGGCAGCGGCGAGGAGAGAGGGAGCGGGGCTGAGGAGAGAGTGGCAGGGCGGGAGGCGGCAGAGAGGAGGGGCGGCGGGAGGAGGGAGGCACCGCGTCGCCAGAAAGTCGCCGAGCGCGCTGCTGTCCCTCTGACTCTGCAGCCGCTTCTCCAGTCCGCAGCAGTTCCACGCGACGATGCAGCGCGGGTCCGCGGTCGCTGGCACGGCCTCCACCGGCTCAGAGGGCCCGGCGGCACCCGCGGCGGCGCCGCCGTCTCGCGGCGGCGTCGCCGTCCCCGCAGGCGGCGGCGGAGTGCGCGCCGGGCTGTCGGCTGGGCTGGCCATGCGATGGTCGAGGGGGTGGCGGTGCTTGAGCAGCACGTCGCGCCGCGTACCGTCGGCGGAGAGGACCTTGGAGCACTGCCCGACCCACTCCTTCGTCACGAGGCGCGGCCACTCGGCCTGCGGCAGCGCTGCTAGGCACGCCAGCTCGGAGGGGCGGCGGTCCGGCTCGAGGGCAAGGTGGGTCGCCTCGCGCACGTCGCTCACCACGTCCCCGCCGCCGCGACGCACCACTCCCTCCTGCAGCTCGCGCAGCTTATCGGGGAGCCGCACCGCCAGCAGCACCCGCACGCCGGAGAAGATGGCCGCCTTGCTCACCGGAGCGAGCGGCGCCGCAGCGGGGGCTGCCTCGGAGGGAGCGTGGGCCGAGCAGCGCGGCCGCTTTGCGAGGTGGGCCGGCAGCGAGGTGGGCGCTCGGGGCTCGGAGGCAGCAGGCAGGATCAGGTTCTCGCGCCTGAGCTTGAGCTTCGTCGGCGGCCCGAGACCCCCGCACACCGCGACAATGTACCTTCCCGCAGAGCTGTCGTAGCCGGCCACCTCGCCACGCCGCCCGTTGTGCTCGGGCCGTGTGACGAGGCCGTGGAGCTGCACCGCCGTTCCCTCCAGGAGCACCATGGTGCTCGATGGCCCGGGGGGGCGGGGGGGGGGTGGGGGCTGCAGAATTTTATAGTAGGGGGAGGGCTCCCAGGGCTTGGAGGTCTTTTCAGTTGCAACGATGATGATAGGCAAGGCGTTCAGGGTAGTGAAGAAATAACAAGAAAAGGAGGACATGGTTCGACCTCGTGCGAGATGTGTGTCGCGACCCCTCGTCGCCGGACACCTCCCGACACGGACGGACGGTGTGAAGAACAACTCCTCTCGCGACCGCTACTACGCCACCGCCTTCTCACTGCGCAGCTCACGGCCCTCCCTCCTCCTCCTCCTCCTCCTCCTTCGCCGCCTCCTCCTCCTTCTTCGCCGCCTCCTCCGCCCGCTTCGCCATCCTCTCCTTCGGGTTGAGTTTGACGTACTTGACCTCGTCCTTCTTGCCGATCACGGCCTTGAAGTCGTTGTGGTAGGGGCAGGTCACCGTCCTCTCATCCTTCTTCGTCGTGGTGAGGTTGTGGAGCTTTGAGCCGCAGAGCGCGCAGCCGTACTTTCTCGTCGGCGGCGCCGCCGGTGGCGGCGTCCCCGGCGGCGTCCGCGGTCCGGCCTGGGGGGGGGGGGGGGGGAACCCCACAAGGAGTAAGGGGGGGGGGGGGGGGGCAACAATCCCCCCGGGGGGGGGACCCCGGGGGGGGTTAAAACCCGGGGGGTCGGGTCTTTTCTTTTTCGCCCCGGGGGGGCGCTCCGGGGGGGGGGGGGAAACCCCTTTTCCCCCGGGTCCCCCGCCGTTTTGAGGTTGTTTCCCTCAGAGTTTGCCCCCTCCTTGAAGAGTTGCCCATCCCCAAAAACCCCCCCGGATTCGTTTTCTCCCCCTGAGGGCTTCACCCCCTTTTCCCCCTGTTTGAAAACCCC